GTGGGGGGAAAGGGATATGCACATGTCACCATCAACTACATGTGTTGGTGATGATGATGACAATATGAAAATGTGGGGGGAAAGGGATATGCACATGGTCATCAACTACATGTGTTGGTGATGATGGCGATATGAAAATGTGGGGGGAAAGGGATATGCACATGGTCATCAACTACATGTGTTGGTGATGATGATGACAATATGAAAATGTGGGGGGAAAGGGATATGCACATGGTCACCATCAACTACATGTGTTGGTGATGATGATGACAATATGAAAATGTGGGGGGAAAGGGATATGCACATGGTCATCAACTACATGTGTTGGTGATGATGACAATATGAAAATGTGGGGGGAAAGGGATATGCACATGGTCATCAACTACATGTGTTGGTGATGATGATGACAATATGAAAATGTGGGGGGAAAGGGATATGCACATGGTCATCAACTACATGTGTTGGTGATGATGATGACAATATGAAAATTCTGGGAGTAGATCTATTATAAGTTCCTGTTCCCGAATTCTTATGAAAACTTGTATATTCAGTGAGGAAGCTCTTCAACTCAGCTGAGGAGAGCGAACGTATATTTCCACGCTAAGTACTATACATATTTTAACCTGGGAATGATGTCGTTAATATGCGTCTTGCGTGCTTCGTGTTCATCTCAGTCTGTTCTCATTATTTCCTGTACTTGGCATAGGTCGCGGGTTCGAATCCCAGGCTCGGCATTTTTTCCATGCAGGAAATATTTTTTGGGCATATATCGTATTTTTTTCAGAGTATATCTGTGAATTGAGTATATCTGTGAATTGAGTATATCTGTGAATTGAGTATATCTGTGAATTGAGTATATCTGTGAATTTAGCTTTTCCTGGAGGGTTTCAAATGACCCGAATTGCAATATGTAGATTAAACGAGTGAGAAAAAAATTGGACTCGAAAAAATAGAGTTACTCACTCCACTTTATTGACGGCTCGTGTCAATGGAGTTTCACCACACTAGTGATATGGAAAACATATTACACGACTACTGCATGTCACCGCGAACATCGCGTTTTTCACGGAGTTTTACGACGCCACTTCACGTAAAACGGGTAGTCGTGAAACTCCAATATTCATCAGTGAGAAATAGAAGCTATTAAAATCATTTTGTGACCATGAAAATGTGGATTTGAAATTATACTCAGATTGTGGTATATGCATAAGAATTTTTCGGCGAGTGGAAAAAATTCTTTTCGTGTTTTTTTAGTTTTATGCATCGAAAAGATGCGCGGAAACAGAGTTCCGAGATGGTCCTAGAGGATTGAAATTTCGAGAAGTGAAAATTGGTGAGGGCAAAATGGCAAGCAAAGGCTCGCTGTGCACAGTGAGTTCGGGTGTGAAGTGAAGACACTATAGTTGGCGTGAAATCGATCCAGTCGTGAAATTATGACGCAAGGCTCAGATTCACCTGAAATTCTGTACAGCAATTATAGTTGTTTTTTTTCGAAAAAATGACTTTTCCATTTTCCACTGATCGTGTGTATTGTCATTGAGTTACCATCGTTTTATGGGCGTCGTGGTTGTGTCTCGAACGATTGGGAAAAGTCCTGTGTCGTTACTTGTTTACACATTTTAACCTCGTTATGAGCTATGAAGTAGTTTCCTGGTGCATCGTTAAATTAACACGGATGATTGTTTCATAAACCGCCGAGTTGGGTAGACACCCGAGCGGTTGCTTCTTACTCCTGCACTTTAATGACTAGGCCTTCGTGAGGAAGGGGCAGAGCTCACTGAGTCCATGGACTCAATCAATGAATTTTACATAGGTCCAGCCCGGTTCGATCCCCGGGTAGGACATTTCTCCATCATTAAAGTTTTTCTTCGTAACTTCGTAGTTAAGCCAGAATAATTCTGCACGCACGCACAACGCGAAATTGCCTGTTGTTGCGGTATATGCTCCGTTCGCTTCGCTCGCTCCGCAACTAGGCCTTCGTGACGGAGGGGCGGAGCTCACTGAGTCCACGTATATTGATTAGATCAATGTATTTGACATAGGTCCCGGGTTCGATCCCCGGGTAGGACATTTTTCCGTCATTATAGTTTTTCGTGAATATCTCTTTGAGCTGTTCGTATAATCGAGTTTTCCGATTTTTGCCAACACCTCGGCATTTAGAGGAGTCGTTTGATCCATCTGGCGGCCTCCTACGCTTCGTAGTTAAGCCAGAATAATTCTGCACGCACGCACAACGCGAAAGTGCCTGTTGTTGCGGTATATGCTCCGTTCGCTTCGCAATTTATCGTTAAAGTATCTATTTTTAATCGATTAACTCGTCGAACGAGTAAGCGTCTTATCGTACGTCAGCATCAGCTCGCGCATTGATGCTATGAAATCGAGTCGCCTAGGGTTGGGTCTCCAACAGGGTTTATGGGATTTCGCATGCGATCTCATCCAATGTGTCATTCACATGACCGAAGCCATACACATACATTCTGTGAATAACAATACTATGGCGATCGCGCCAACATATCGTCGGTGAAAGCGTTACCGTTTCGGGTGCTTGTGATCGCCAGCAGTGTGGGAAAATATGCGCGAAATTTTGAGGAAAATTGAGGAAATTCTCTCATTGGTTTCTGTACATTTCTACTCGAATTGCAGATAAACTTGTATAATTAGTGAGGAAATTTCTGGGTCCAGCTGAGGAAAGCGATCATATATTCCAACGCTGAGCCCAATGAACTTCGCCCAAAATTACAGACTATTTTCTGATCTAGTGCTTCACCTATATATTCTTGCGCTATGACCAATGAATCGGCAGACGAGAAACTTCGGTGATATTCAGAATGCAAAACCTCGAAAATGGGGGAATTTCTATACCTTTTTATGTGGGAGAACGATATCGATTACTCGGGCGAGCGCTTTTTTCAAAAACAAGTTTTTGGAATAATCAGGAAGTTGTGTTTAGGTTCACTACGAAGGAAAGACACTTTCGGGAACGAGGCTGGAGTGTACGTTTAACAACTCTCTTACTGGAATACGCTTTTACTGTGGTAGGTTGTTTTTTGTAATTTCGTGGCGCGTGACAAAATTAAATTGGTGAAACGATGTTTGTGTTTAGTGGAGTTTCACGCGTTTTACGTGAAGTGGTGGTTGACGGAGAAATTACGTAAAACTCATAACGTGTTTTACGCGTTATTCACTGCTTACATGCAAAGTGAAAAGTGAATTTTTTTCCCACTGGTGTTTTTTATATCACCGGAGAAAGTACAATATAACTTTTCTGTGTCTCAAGACCTCCCGCAGGCTCGAGTTTTATATGTTGAAGCAAATCGTGTCGGGAGAATGGGAGTTGATGAATTTTGTGGCGCGCGAAAAATCGAGACGTGAATTTTTGGCAATTTTTTTTTGATTTTGGTAGGGGTATAGCTACTTTTCATTTTGAGTATAGCACGATCATCAGATAAGGTATCTTAGGTTGGCGTGTTAATGATACGAATGAGGTCCGAGAATATCTTTATGATAGTGTACTTTGATTGGACCTATTCCGTATCTTTGTTGCTTGAACCTTAGATTCTCCCGAGCCGACAGTGGCGGCGTTCCTTAATGAAGGGGTGAGCGAGATTGTTTCGAACTCACCGCGATTAGCTAAATTATCGTGTTAACAGGTTGTTGGCATGCGAGAAGGAGGGCATCGAGAAATGATAGTTCCCCCGCATATGCACTACCCTGAAAGGTAGGGGTAAAATCTTCGCTGTGCGCACTGTTATGAAACGGTTGGATACTTGATATTTGTGTAAATCTCGCTCGCCCGAATATCTTTGTGTTGGTGATAGGTGGCCGAATCGTATATTAATTTATGAAGTTTCTCTGATGAGAGTTCGGGGAGGGGAAGGTGGGTAGTTGGACTTCGGGTTTCGGGTTTTAATTATAGTTCGGATTTCGGGTTTTAATTATAGTTCGGGTTTCGGGTTTTCGGGTTTTCATTGTAGTTGGGTTCAGCAGCGCTTTGGATATTAGTAAATTTAATTTTCGTGAAAATGGAAAATTCGTAGGTCTTACTAGGTTAGTATTTCTAACCAGTAAGGTGGTATATGTTTGCCTTCCTCAGTTGAGCTCAGAAGAGAATATATATAAATTACAGGGTAGAAGTGTACAGAAAGTTTCCTCGTAGAATTTTCATAGTGTCATAGCCAACACTCGCCGTTAATTGTATTTTTTCTTTTTTCAGGTAATGAGGAAGTCGAAGCCGTCGAGAAGGAGGAGTTTGAGAAGATGCCGTGGTTGGCGCGAATCTTGTACAAGCTCATGCCGTATTAGCAAGTTTCTGTTAATGATTAATCTATTGCTTGGGGGTATCTTTTCATCTGAGTGTTGCCTAGGAGAACCTAAGATATTTTTGTTGTAGATTTTATTTTATTTTCCCTTCCCGTCGCGCGCCTGAATGGTTACTGCTAATCTCAAAGGTATGAGTTTTTTTTCTGATTTTTTTTCAATTTTCTGCTCAGGTCCCCTGGTCGGAAAAAAGGATGAGTTTGATGTTCGTGGTCGTGACGATATAATTGGAAAGGAAAAGGTGAATATTTGTTTCATTGGAGTTTCACCACCCTAGTGATATGGAAAACACTAGTGAAAAACATATTTCACGACTACTGCATATCACCGCGAATATCGCGTTTTTCACGGAGTATTATGACGCCACTTCACGTGAAACTCCTTTTTAATGGAATTTTAATTGAAAATTTGATCGTTTATGAGGAAATTTTGTATTTTCGTTGTAGTTTTTGTTTGTGTTATTGTTAGAAAATTTTAGATTTTTACTTTCTAGGTGAAGTCTTGAAACTTTTCCGATAATTTTAATCAAATGTTTGTGGGTATAATTTCGTGGTTTGTGAGGTGTCGAATTTTGGACGGAAAATCATTTTTTCGAAGTACCAGCAAAAATTTCGCGAGTTTTATTTTTCCCTCCGTAGATTCGCTCGCTTTCCACGTCTGATGACGATTCGGTGGAGAATTTTCCGCGTAAAGGAAAGGGGAAGGGCTCGAGTCAGTACGGGAAGGGCAAAGGGTGGCGAGGGCATTGGCATGGCACTGGTTTCTATGTGAAAGGGGGTCCGATGAGGAAAGGGAAGGGGAAAGGCCGTTTTGATGGTATTGACAGCGGAAAGGGAAAAACGGTGTCGGAGAGTGGTTCGGAAGAGGTGATTCAGAGGAGAGGAAAAGGGAGATTGTATGCGTTAGGGAAAGGTAAGGGAAGGCAAGATGAGCAAGATTTTGGGGGTAAAGGGAAGGGGAAGGGTTATCGTGATTATTATAAGGGTGGGAAGGGCTATAAGGGAAAAGGATTTATTCCATCGTGGAAAGGGAAGGGTAAAGGTATGAGATATGATTCTGATTCGGAGGGTGCTGATGGTTGTGTGGGGGGTAAGGGGAAGGGGTATTGGGTGTTTGTTCCGGCGAAGGGGAAGGGGTGGGGAAAGGGAGTATATGGTAAGGCGAGGAAAGGGAAGGGGATAATGGGTAGAGGGTATTGGTATGGTGATTATGAAAGGGATTAAATGTATTGACGTTGTGTGGGTTTAAGTGTTTCTTTGAAGTGTTGATGGTTGTTGTGTGAATGTGGTCAGTGGGGAAGAGTATGTCTCTCGAACGATGGAGAAAAGGTATACTTTCTGGTGAACTTGGTTCAGAAGTGCGAGTTGGGAGAAGGGTGTAGTAAGCAACTGCGCGAGTGATAAACACTGCAATGAGGCGGTCGCCAAGTCGATATATATTTTGTTGCTCCTAACAGCATAGGCTTGAATCGTATTCAAGTGGGTAGAGTGAGAGAATGT